CGCTGGGAGCTGGAAGGCGGCCGGGGCGGGGAGGGCGTGCGCCCGGGCGCGACGCGAACGGACTCGGGGAGTCCGGGGCTGCAGGGACCGAGAGGAGAGAGTCCGGGAGGGAGGGGCGAGGACTCGCGAAGGACTTACCGGGACAGGAAATTAACCCTCCGGAAAATCCCAGGGAGGGGCGGGGAGCGATAGAGGTGGCCGAGTGGCCCGGGCAGCTTTTTTCTGAGACCGGGTAGTAAGACCTGTCGCGCGGACTTGGCCAGGAGCGCTCCACAACTAAGTTCGGTGATCGAGCGCCCCCCACCCCAGCGATTGCCAGAGGGCGTGCTGGGGGCATGTGCCCCGCAGCCCGGCGCCCGCCTGGTGCCAAAGCGCGCTCCCCTTTCGCCAGCCCCATTGCCAAAGGGAATGCGACCTGCGTCCCTCTGGCTCTGCGCCGGGGGGCAATCCCGGCGGGCTCTAGGGGGCCACTCCAGGAGCTGCTGACCTAGGGTTGGGCGGAGCTCCCGAGTGGCTCGTTTTGCCTCCTCACTCCGCCCACCTGCACTTGACCCATCTCAGGGAGGCACGTGGGGTCAAGTGAGGCGAGCAGCTGCCTGGGCCCCCCGCTGTGGCCTGAGGGAAGCCAGGGCCAGTCAGCACTTTCCATGCTGGCCCGAACTTGTCAGGAACCGGAATCCCCCCTGGCACGATTAGACCTGGCTGCTGGTCTACCAGAGGCCCAAAGGAGAAGCACTGTGGCCTGGGGGCAGAGGCCTGCCTCCCAGTGATGTGGCCTCAGTTCCAGTGCCTCCACCTCTCTGGACCCCCTGTGTCCCATCTGTAGAATGGGAAAGGGTAGTAAGTATGATACTGGCAGGAGATTTCCCTCCTGGGAGAAACTACACTCAAGCCAAACTCCTCCCTCGGCCCCCAGCTCTTTTCAGAAATGGTTGAGAGGTCCCCACTGAGCCACCAAGAGATTGTCCTGCTGCTGGCTATTTTGGTCCAAATACCCTGGAATTGATAAGCTCCCACTGAACCAAAATAACCCAGGGAACAGCTGTTGGGCAGCAGGCCCCCAGAGACCCTGCCCTGGTCCCTGGCCCCTACACAGATTGGTGGAGGCTCAGATTCTAAAACCATATGAGCTAAGCCCCCCTTTTTTCCAAAGGTACGTGCACTCTTGATGCCTTCCGATGGATCAAAAACCTGAGCCTCTGGGACGAAGCCAACAGCTCAACAGATGACAAGTGTTTGCAGAAGACCGGGGTGGGGGGTGGAGGGGGGCTGGGTACAGAGTTCCAGTGAACAGCTCTTGGGGTCCTGCAGCTCTTTCCCTGCTTATACTCCAGGCCACCATGCCAGACCTCCGGAATCCTCTGTCTGTGTCCCTACTTTCCCAGGGTACCCCCCCTTGCCTTTATCATCCCCAGGTGCAGGGGTTCAGCCCCCGCTCTGGCATCATCCCCTTGAAGAGGCAGATGCGGGGCAGGGGGAATAATCTAAAGCCTCCTAGAGTGGGTGAGAGTACCCCAGGCTGCATAAATGATGTATTACTGCAGTGTCAGACAAAGCACAGGCAGGTGGCAGAATAAACAGTTCCCCCTATTGCAACTCAAGGAACGCCCTGAACCCATCTGTGATATCCTCCACTTTTCCAGTCTCAGGCTGGGTTCCGGCTGCTCACTCCAGTACCGAGGAGAGCCCATTCATCACTGGTTGGAGCCCTCAGCATCACTGCTTCAAGACGTCTGTGTTTGGTTGGGCCCCCATCTCACACGTGCACACCCGTGTGCCGTGTGTGTCGTGTGCACCAGCCCTCCCTGCCAAGGAGTCTGGTTGGCTGCAGCCCTGGCCTGGGAGTCGGGCTCCTGGCCCTGGTCCTGGCCCCACCGCTAGTCACAGAAACTTTCACGGGCCACCTGATCTCTCTGGGGAAGCACTTCTTAGCCTGGGGTCCTTGGGCCCCTTGGTGATGAACACTTTTCAGAATTAAAAAAAAAAAAAAATCTGGTGAAAACCAGACCTTTACCTGCGAGGAGGCCACCCGGAGTAAAGCTGCAATTCTTGGTAATGGACTTGACGGTAGCCCTGGTTCTTCTGTGCTGAGCAGACATTGGCACTCACAGATGACTTTGATTAATGAAAATGGAGATGCATTTCTACGTAATAAATGCAGAGTATTTAGCAAGGGCTTTCGAAACGGGGTGCTTGGTGGTAAAGTAAAGGGGCTCTTGCTAATGAAAACGTTGAGAAATACCGCTCCTGGCCTGGATTTTTCTTATCTTGGAACTTGGGAGAAAATACCGGCTCTCTCCTCTTACACCGACTATGTAAGGCCCACGTGGGAAAATATTGGTAGGAAACATGATCTGAAGAGGATTTAGAGAAACACTGCACATAAACGTGGCCGTAAGTCTTGCTATGGCAGAACTCCTTGTTTCTTGCTTTGAGTGTCCCCCAAAGTCCCTCAAATTGAAATCTCAGCATTTTTCATTAATATCAGCAGGAGAAGACTCAGTTGGGGTTCATGGGGAGCAGGGAGGGGCCCCCGATATTCCAGGACTCCTATCCCTTGGGAAAATGCAAACTTCGCCACCTCTGATTTTCCCCAGGCAAGAAAAACATAGCTCTGACCTCAGCAAGGTCACACCATGAGTCAGTGATAGCTGCTGGAAATAGAACACAGGCATCCTGACTCCCCAGCTGCTCCGCTCACCCTGCTCCCCCCCGCCCCCGAGGAAGGGGGCCTCTTACAGCCGGATGGGAAAACATTGCAGGTGACAGGGACAGACCTTCAGAGACTGTCAGCACCTTCTTTGTGATTCCCATTCAAGAGGCTCAGAACCTGGTGTGGCAAATACCCAAGGCATTCTGATGTTTTCAAAACCTGGTGTCATGTCTTCCCCAACCTTCCAAACAGAGCTCCCCACTCCTCCGGTGCTCCCAAGCTACAGCTCCGTAGCCCTTCCTGTCTTGTTTCATAAGTGGCCCCTGTCTGTCTCCCTGTGAAGTTGGGTCTTGGGAAGTTATGTGGACAGCGCCCAGGAAATCCCCTGTGTGGGGTCTGCTCCCTATACACAGAAACAATTAGTCATGAGGTTTTCCCCCTTTGGTTGGCAGACTAACCTCTAAATTAGCCAAAATCCTAGGCCCTACATTGTAAACAAGATGATGCCGATATGGAATGTGCAGAAGTCTGCATCTAGGTGCAGATGCTAGGTTTGAATGATGAGCGTGGCTGGTGTTTGGTGACGTCATTTGTGTTACTGGTGTGTGTTACCTCAGATGAGCACCTGGCTGACTTGGGCAGGAGGCAGGAGGACACCCCAAGGGCCCCCAGGAAAGGAGAGATGCTCTGGCCCTTTGCCTGGGACATCCTGAATCCATGAAACCAGCTCTCTGCTCCATGGACCCTGCTGTGACTCTGTCCCCCCAATTAATGGGCCAACTCCAAGCTCCTCTGTTCTCACCCACTGCCCTTTCTCACCACCACCACCAGGGGGCACTATCTGCTGCCTGCACTGGTGAGAGCGAAACCCAGATCCATCTCTCCTGACCACTAGGTCCAGGGGTGACAAGAATTCTGGCAAGCCTGGACCCACCTAGAAGAAAAGCTCCTGCCCCTAGTTTCATCCCTGGAACCAGGAAACGAATCTTCAACCAGCCTAAATGAGAGGCAATGAAGTGGTAGCGGTTAGGAACGTGGGTTTGGAGTTAGACCTGCATCAAATCCTGGCTCTCCTATTCATGGGCTCCATCACCTTGGGCAAGTTGCTTAACTTCTCGAAGCCTCGGTTTTCCCATCTGTGAAATGGGATAATCCTAGTGCCTACTTCATTGGGTTGTTATGAGGATTAAATGAGGTATCTATCAAGTGCTTAGCAGTGAGACTATCACAACAAATGGCAGCCACGTAATTATCTACTTCTCTATCTTTTGACCCAAGGAGGTGGTGTTCTTCAGGTAAAGTATTTAAGTGCTCGTCTGTCTGGAATTTATTTGTTTGGAATGTCCTAAAATTCTAGGGTCAGTTTTCAGTCTCACGCCTTCCGTGAACCATATTCCCCACTCCAACTGTAGACCATCTGAGGGACAGACAGACACATACGCATGCACACACGCATGCAGGCGGGCCCTCACGCACACCTTTGCTCTCTCCAGCTCTGGCTGACTTTGTGAGCACGGTTATAGGTGAGTGGTTCCCCAACCACACCCCCAGTTCACTGGCTTGATTGGTCTGAGCATGGGCAGACTAATAAGACCGAGGACGTGGGGTCAGTCCCTCAGCTCAGCACAAGGAGACATCTGTTCTCTGCTCACGGCAGGCGCTCCTAATGCTAGCTAGCCATCCAGCAAATGTATGACCTTGGGTAGAGCCAGAGGACGATGGGGATAGTGCCATCCTGTCTTTCCTAGGAGAAAAATGCAGAGCACACGTTCCAAGAGTCAAAGGCACCCTCATGCCATTATGTTACAGCAAACTCAGAGGAGTCATCCCCAGTTCCTCTTTGCTTGTCCCCACCCCCTCCTATCCATTGGCAAGGCATCCTTGGCTGTCCTTCTCTGCCTCTCCACTGTTACCTCCTTAGTCCAAATCAGCATCATCTTGTACAGAAGTCCCCACTGGCTTTCCTGCTCTCACTCTTGCCCAACCCCTGGACACACTCCCAACATTTGAGAAAGCCAAAGAGATCCTTTGAAGAGAGACCTCAGATCATCTCACCTGCCTGTTTAGACACCTCCAATGACTTTTTGGGTATGGTAAACAAACTTTTAAAATGACACCCCCCCTTGTTATTACCCCCACCCCCAGT